AGGAGGGAGGGAGGGAGGGAGGGAGGCAAGGCCTTGAGGGTGTGGCTGGTGGCTACTTACTCTCTTCAACAGACCTGGCCTTGCTGACCTGCTCAAGGTCAAGGACTGAAAGCACTTCCAGAACCTGCCTTTGCTGCACCACTTCCTCCAGGAGGCAGTCCTGGACCATCCTTGACAGATTAGGGGAGGCCAGTTTCTAGAATCAACGATAGATACCCAGGTTACCCTGCATGTACGTGTCTGCCCACAGCTGCCCACAGCTGCCCCATCCCAGAAGTAGTTTCTCAACCGTAACCTAAGCTCCTTTTCTTCACCAAGCTGAGCCCCCAGGGTCAGCCCACCCAAGTCCAGCTAGACATCACAAAGCAGTGGGATCTGATGGCGTCAGGACCCCTGGGAGCAGCACAGCCTGAGGCCCACCATGGATACTTTCTGAGGTTGAGCCAATTTGGACTGGCACAGCACCTACACATGTACCTCAGAACTACCCTCTTGGTTCAGGGCTTGGCTCTCTGAGACTCATGCGGTTCCTCACCGCCTGTCACGGAGCCTCCATGGCTCTCAGGCCCAGGATATTCATTGACTTTAAGCCCAGTCCCCACCCTGGCCAAGCCCCACCCAGACACCTGAAGCAAGGCTTTGCAGACTTGAAGGTGGACGCTGAGCAGTGTGTCCAGCTCGGGGGCACCAGCTGTGAGCTCGCTGGGTGACACCTTCAGTGATGGCCGTGGAGGTGGGGGGCTGTCCCTCCTGAGAAGACAAAAGAACTGAGTGACCATTAGATTAGCAAAGGGATCCCTTCCCTGACACATACACACACACACACACACACACACACACACACACACACACACACACACACACACCAGCTCCAGACTGGGCTCCTCAATAGAGGAACGGGAGGGAAAATTGCCTGGACATCAAACGGAAGTACAGGGCAGGGCTTCCCAGGGGACCTGGGCAGTTAGCAGAGCCTCAGTTTGCTCTTCTGTGAAGTGGGCAGGAAGCCTAGACCTAGGGCGGGTATACTGGCTCACCACACTCAGGAAGGTAGCAGACTTGGAATCTCCCTGTGGGACCACTGGATTAGAGGAAGAGGCGGAAACTGTCCCCTTCTGTAATAATGCTAAGGTCTGGGAATTACAAGTGGCTCTGATCAAGGTAGATAGTGAGACAGAGGTGGATGGCAGTCCAGAGGGAATGGTGGGCAAGGCAGTTCCTATGGTGATTGGTTGGTCAGCATGACAGCCACGGAGGTTAAGGTCAGAGTTTTGCTGTGTGCTGCTGTTATTGCCTGAGAGACCCTCAGTGGCCATAAAGGCTTGCTGTGTGGAGAAAGTGCCGTGGAGAGGAGGCACCATGCACAAAACTACACATGATGGGGCCAAGGACTCAGAGACTAGCCTGGAGCTAGAGCAATCCAGAGGTTTGTGGGGTACACTCACTCAGGAGCCTGGGAGCCCCCAAACATGGACAGCTCATCCCCAGCAAGGTCAGCATTCAGAAAAGCGAAGCTCTCGAGGATACAGTCCATCAGGCTCCGGGCCGACACGGGTTCTGGCTGCACCTCTCGGGGCTGTGGACGAGCACCAGGATGAGGGCTTTGCCTTCCCACACCCAGCCAGAATGTGGCATCCCCAGCCCCAGCGCAAGCCAGCCCATTGACAAGGTCTCAGCAGGATGAGCCTGGGATGTGGCACTTCCAGTGTCCCACCAACATGGCCTGAGACAAGGAAGGTCACCAGGGAGATAGATCTCAAAGTCCCCAGATGGGGAACGCGCAGGGCAGGGTTCCCCCACAAGGAGGCGCCACTCTATCATGGCTGACACCTGCTGCTGCACTGCCACGCAATGCCTCACTCCTCAGCAAACCCAGAAACCTGCTCTGTGCTCATGCTGACAGTCACTTGGAGGAGATTCAGAAGCCGTGGGTGAGCCTCGAATGGGAAGGTATGTAGGAGTCACTGCCTACTGCTAGTCAAGCATCCAGAGACCTCTGTCTCCAAGCCGGGGCTGCCTGCAGGGCTGGGATCCCACTGGTATCCAGTGTGCCACACCTCAGTCCACACCAACCACACCCCAAGAAGGGCCCAACAAGACTGCAGACATGAACAAGGGCCCTCAACTGAGCCCACAGAGGGAAGGGTGGCGTGTGAGCAACAACAAAGATACTCAGCCCAGGCACAAAGATTCCCCTTCCATTAGAGTAAAACTCTGCAAGCGCATGTGCGTGTGTGTATGTGCATGTATGTGCATGTGTGTGCACACACGGGATGGGCACAGCAGATTCTTGTGACTTGAGGTAGTTATGTCAGCAAACCAGCAAACGCTGACCCAAGGCCCACAGTGCAAACTCCCAGCCAATAAGTATAAGGCCCACATGTACACTTCTGTTTAAAAACAGTTTTCCTCTTCCTTGTGTGTGTGTGTGCGTGTGTAGTGCACAAGCGCATGTACTTGTATGTGCCCAGAGGGGCCACAGAAGGATGACCTTGGTGTCTGGTGTCATTCCCTAAGAGATGTCCGCCGCCTTGTTTTTGTTTTGCTTCTTTTGTTCTTGATCCAAGGTCTCTTACCGGGCCTGGAGCTTGACAGCTAGGCTACGCTGGCTGCCCATGGAGCCCCGGGGATCTTGTTCGCCTTCTGCAGTGCTAACGTGTTTGACACTGACCTGCCTTCTCTTTATGTGGGTGCTGGGGGGTGGGGGGGGTGAATTCAGGTCCTCATGCTTGCCCAGCAAGCACTGACTGAGCTGTCTCCCCAGCCCTGAGGACAGCTTACTTAGTAGCCAGTGTTGCGGCTCCCGGCAGTTCACACCTCCTGCAGTTCACACCTCCTCCCTGAAAGGAGGCTCCTTTAACTCTGATTCTCACCACTAGACACGCAGGGGCTTGCTCTTGGCACCGTGAGCCCAGCGATACACGTGAGGCCATCCACACAGCACAGATGGTCGAACATGTGACAGTGACTGGGAAAAGGACGGCAGTCACAGGGACGCCGAACAGCAACTTGCTCGCCTTAGGTGGGGAAGTTGCACATGGAGCAGAGCCTGTGCATTGATCCCAGTGTGTGTGTGTGTGTGTGTGTGTGCTCAGTAGATGACTCTCCGTTAGAAGCCAAGCTGAAGGTGGGACCTGTTGTTTTTTGTTTTGTTCTTAGCTGTTTCCCAGAGGTGTCTCGTTGGTGTTTTGAATGACTATGCTGTTGTGGGGTCATTCAAAGTGCTTGTGACTCTTCAGAATACAGGAGTGTGACGGAAGTGTGTGCCTGCAACCCAAACGGTTTCTCACATAAATGCTGGAAAAGGACTAACAAAGGTGGCCATCTTCCTCAAATTCTTGTTCCTGGCAATGTGGACAGGGTCTTTTAAGGTGCTAGGCAGTAGATTCCTTCAAGACACTAGACAGAATACAAGAGGAGAAGCCTTCTCTCAGCTGTGCTGATATGAGACTGTGAAGTCCAAACAATTAAAGAAAGAAAGAAAGAAAGAAAGAAAGAAAGAAAGAAAGAAAGAAAGAAGGAAGGAAGGAAGGAAAGAAAGAGTATTTGAAGATGCCTGTGTCATATAGTTCTGAGGGGGGAAAAGTGTCACACCCAAGAGCGGGCTCATGGGCACCTGTAGAAGTTGATCTACATTTTATTTTATGTATTTAAAATGTAAACAGAGAGAGGCATCCATCCAAGCCAGCAGCTCTGAGAGCCACTGCCTTTGTCTGGGCAGCGGAAGGTTCTGGATGGTTATAGAGATGAGGCTGGCAGGTGGCTGCAAGGCCTTCATAAATCGCAGCCCCCTCCCTGCCCACCCACCACATCTGAAGATTCTCAATGGAGCCAGGTTCTGGTGGCTGGACACGGAGCAAATTACTCACTGTGCGCTCCGGCCTCCCCTTGGTATTCTCCTCCGAGGCCTTGACATGTGAGGAAACTGAGGGTGAGGGAGACGCGGCTCACCCAGATCACACAGGGGCGAGGCCGGGAGGCTAACCTGGACTGGCTGGTCCCCACACCTGCTCCCTAGCCTCAGACCCGCAGCAGAACGGTGCTGCTGTCCAGTGAGTGGTGGGCATACCTTCAGCCGCTCCCTGAGGCCAAGGACTTGATACTCCAGTTCCCTGAGCTGGGGCTGCGCAGGGTCCACAGACCGCAGCAGATCCAGGACCTCCTGAACAGGCCCCTCCACTCCGTCCCCCACGTCTCCATCCTCCTGGCCCTTCCGGCTCCGTGGCACCATGAGGCTGTGGACGGGGACATCCTGCGGCAGGGCCAGCCTCTCTCCTCCCAAGTCCCTCCAGCCAGGCTGTTCTAGAAGCACACCCCCAGCTGGGTGAGCCAGGCCTGGCAGCAGGCCCAGAGGGGGAGGCTCCTCCCTGGTCTTCTCTTCGATGCAGGCTGAGGGACCCACAGGCATGGGCAGGAAGCCCACATCTGAGGTGGATGCTGAAGTACTGGTCTCAGTGTCTCTGGGGTCCTCGGAGCTGAAGGAGTCCATCTCCAGTAGCTCCTGGCTCCGGCTCCGCAGGCGGGGACCCTGGAGCTCACTGTCAGACAGGTAGCCGAGGATGGAGGTGGCCCTTGGCCCACCTAGCAGCAAGGCCTGCGGTGTTAGCTGCTGGAGGACAGACTGGGAGGGAATGCGGGAGCAGCCTCAGCAGCCACCCCAGGGACTGTGCTGCGACCCTTGTGTGCCCAGGTGCTCAGGATGATGGAGATCTGCCAGGGCAATGGGCATCCAGGGCGCCAATGCCCTGTCACCCTCTAGCTCCCCCTTCAGCCCTCAACTTCATAGTTCCATCCTCGCCATGCTCCTGCCTCAGGACCTTTGTGCTGACTGTGTTCTCTGCCAATACAGAGCCTGAGCCTAGAGACCAGAGCAGACAGAGGGATGGGACCCGGAGCACTTAGGGTGTCCAGGGGCTTGGAAAGGGAGGTGGCATCTGAGCTGGGACCCCCAGTGTTCAGGACATGTGTGCAAGGCGGTTGGTTCCAGGGCCTGGGACCCTGGATGGGTGCAAGCTTGGGACAGATGTTCCCACTGAAGAGTGGGCATGGCCTGTGGAGAGCTACAGCACCGCACTGAAGTGACCGCCATCTCTGTTGAGTAAACACACAGTCACCTGTGGGGTGGTGGAGGGGGCATTAAGAAAGGTCCCTGAGAGGGACCATCCCAAGGACGACACCAAGAGAAATAATGGGGTGCCCGCGTGCACAGCTTTCAGTCCCCCGACCCACAGGAAAGGAGAGGAGGGTGGCCCTGGCTCTAAGAGGACCTTACCCTTGGAGGTCATAGGGAGAAAGTTGTGTTTTGTATAGGGCTCTGGGTCACAATCCTTTACATTTTTCCAGCAAAGTGAGGCCAAGGCTGTGGCTAGGTGGAGGATACATACACACACATACACGCACACACAGACACACAGACACAGACACACACACACATATACACACAGATACACAGACACACATACATACACACATACACACAGACACATACACAAACACAGATACACACACACATACATATACACATACACACACATACACAGATATATACACACATACAAACACAGATACACACACATACATATACACACACATACACAGACATATACACACATACAGATACACATACATACACATATACATGCACACACATACACACACATACATACACATATATATACACACACAGACACACACACATACATACACACAAACATACACACACAGACACACATACACAGACACACACAGAGCACACACATACATACACACCATACACACACACACTTATACACACATACACAATACACAACACACATACACAGCACACACACAAATACACACTGAGCACACACACATACACAACATACACATACATACACACACAGCACACATACCACATACTTATACACACACACATATATAGCACACATACAGCACACACACATACACATATACAGCACACACACACATATACACACACAGCACACACACAATATACACATACACACACATACACACAGCACACGCATACACAGCACACATACACACACTCCAGGTAGGTCCCAGACCCAGCTCAACTCCCATGACCCCAGGCAGCGGAAGACAGAGCCACACAAGGCCCTGAAGCCCCAAAAGCTGAACCCCAAGCAGGCCACGTCCTTCAGAGCCCAGCCCCAGAGCCTCTCGTCCCCAGAGGCCCCCTTACCAGGTAGTACTTGTCCCGGAAGCTGGGGGTGTTGGGCGGCGTCCATGTATATAGGGAGCCCTTCCTGCTGCCCACAGAGAACCTGCCTGTGGGGCTGGGTGACACCAGCCGGCACTCAGAGTCCAGGGGGCTGCAGGGAAAGAGCAGAGACCAGCAGGGACTCAGGTGGGACCCAGGCCTCTGCAGTCACAGGCAGCTCCCTTGCCTTTCAACTGAACTCTGCGGTTCCTTCCCACAAGCCCATGGACTGATGAGAGATCTGTGGCTGAGTTATTTACGTGAAGTGGAGAGGACGGCTCTGACAAGGAATTTGTTGGGCAAGTATCCTGTCAATAAGCAGAGCCAGAACTGAATTCACCCCCATTTTCTCTCATCCCAAAGCCTTCAAATCAGCTGCGACTGATATTCATGATATCCTCAGAACTTAGTGGACTGGGCTCAGGGAGGCCAGGGGACAGCATGGCTCTCAGATGAGGATAGCACCAAACCCAGCATGAAGACCCCAGAGACCCGAGGTACCTCAACCCGAGGTCACCTGTGGCCAGCAGGACTCCAAACTGAAGAATGGCTGGCCTGCGCCGGGCAGTGGTGGCACATGCCTTTAATCCCAGCACTTGGGAGGCAGAGGCAGGTGGATTTCTGAGTTCGGGGCCAGCCTGGTCTACAGAGTAAGTTCCAGGACAGCCCGGGCTATACAGAGAAACTTTACCTTGGGGAAAAAAAAATGACTGGCTAGCCTGGAGTGGCGTGCACGTGAGGGGACCCTGGGTGACTGAATTGAACGATGTTCTCAGTCTTTCCCACCCTGCCACACCTGTTCTGGGGACAGGGAGGCGCACCCTGGAAATGCAAGATGGCTCCGCTACTGACCACCCTAGAGACCACAGCTCCTGAAGGTGGTGCAGGGTGGAGCCCCAAACTCAACACAGACTGTTCCGAGCCTGGATCCCATAGTGTGGAACCTAGTGAGAGGCCTCAAGGTGACAGTTCGGCCCCGGACTGGAAAGGACAGGACATTCAACAACAGGAGACATGGGGAGAGGCCTGCACAGGCAAAACAGTCCCTCTGAGAGACTAGGCAAGAGGAAAAAGTGCCTAGCAAGTGGCATGGCTCATCTGGAGCGGCCATGTGTCCATGGTGGGGGAGGGGACAGGGCTGCTGTAAAGGTCAGGCCAGCCTGCCTATGAGGATGGTGGCGGGGTGGTAAGGACAGGACCACTTGGTTCCCGCTGCACCCAGAGCTGCGGTGGCCTTGGCGAGGGCTGGGGACTCAGCCATTGAGGGCGGGTGACACTCACTTCCACAGCAGCTCCAGCTGCAGCTTGATGGTGCCCAACTCGGTGATGTCCACCACCACAAGCTGGGGCCTGGCTGTGAAGAAGTCCGCGACGTCACATGTCACCGCACCCACCACCATCGAGCTCAAGCCACGAAGCTCCGTCACCTGGGTACGAGGGACAGGATGGTGGTGTCTGAGCCCAGCACCCAGGCTCCAGGCCCCACCCTGGGGCCCTGTCTCACCTTGATCTCCAGGTTCTCATGCACTGTAGGCACAAAGACCCTCTCCTCTTCATCCCAGGTCTGGCTGTCATCTGGCTCTATCCGGCCCTTCAGCCGCCATCGCTGACGGCCCAGGCGCATGAGCACCTGCAAGGGAAGTACAGAAAGAGGTGCAGAGGCAGCCCCAGGGGAATCCACTCACTGCCTGCTCCTGGACCTCTCTCCCACACCTAAGGACCTGGACTTCCCAGGACCTCGACTTCCCAGGACCTCCCTGGCTGTACCTCATACTGGTCTCCGGGACAGAGGCGTGCATAGCCCACCAAGCCTGGAACACAGAAACGGGTTAGTGTCTCCACCCCTGCCTAGGGACCATGGTGACCCAGGGGTACAGGGGTCTGTCTGGCAACAGAAGGTTTCAATGTTCAAAAGGGGATGGTACGATACCTCAGAGAACAGTGAGCCCACCTCCTGTCACAAGTGCTGGCCTCTAGACCCTGGGACTCTGGCCACACTGTCAACCGTTGGCGGGCTCTCAGGGCACCTAGGACTATACCCAGCACAGCCTGGCTTGGCACTCACCTTTCATCTTGACATGGAACTCGCCCAGGTGACCTTCCAAGGTCCCCTCTATGAGGCACATGTCCTGCAAGGCCCAAAGTTGGATGGATTAATTGCCAGCTCCACCCCTTACTCAACATCCCAGCGCAAGTGCAGAGAGAAGTGGCCCACCTCCAGGCACTCCTGCAGGCTGCGGCCCAGCTCCTGCAGGCTCTCACGGGAGGCACGGCTCTGGGTGCTATTACTGAAGGCACGCTGCATGTTGGAGGCTCCGTCTCGCAGACGCCACTGGATACAGTAGCCTTCGTAGAGTTCATCTACCTGCGGCAGACATGCAGGCTGTGAGCCGCGCCGAGGGACAGCCCATGTCAACCTTACGGTTCCCCCAGAACTTGTCCCCTGGCCCAGCCTTGCCCTGTGCTCCTCACGGCTCAAAGTCCACTCACGTAGCACCTCAGCACCTAGGATTGGTCACACACATTTGAGCACTAGTGACTATGTCCCACACTCTCCCTGCCTGAGTCCCACCCGTGGCATGTAAGGTACGACAGTTGCCCACCCTGTGGGTCTGGGGAGGAAAGTGAGTTCTTGAAAGCGTTTGCAAACTGACTAAGTTTTTTTTTTTAAAGCCTTAAAGAAGATAAGACTGTGTGGGCTTGGCCTTAATACCAGACTCAGGAGGCAGAGGCAAGCAGCTCTCTGTGAGTTCAAGTCCAGCCTGGTCTATATAGTGAGTCCCAGAACAGCTAGGGTTACACTGTGAGATCCTGTCTCAAGAAGAAGAAGGAGGGTGAGGGAGGAGGAGCAAGAAGCCTAAGGACTTGCTGGGGGGAAGGGGAGCTGTGGGCACATCCCGCCACCTTCCTGGCTACACAGGGGAAGTTGGGGCCTTCCAAGGGTAAGCTGGAAGTCCTCTGTGCCAATCAGTGACAGAGCCCCAAAGGCCCAGGGATGCACCCCACCCTCACCCGGGGGCTAGGCCTGCTGCCAATCACTACAGCTCTGCAGCAGCACTTCACCCCAAGTCTCAGCAGCTATCCATGACCACAAAGCTTGATACCCACTACACCTACATGACACCTACTGCCTCCATGTGACACCTACTATATCCACATAACACCTGCATGGTGCCCAGTGACACCCCCGTGGTGCCCAGTGACACCCTCATGGTGCTCAATGACACCTGTATGGTGCTCAGGACACCTCATGGTGCCCAGTGACACCCTCATGGTGCCCAGTGACACCTGTATGATGCCCAGGACACCTCATGGTGCCCAGTAATACCTGTATGGTGCCCAGGACACCTCATGGTGCCTAGTGATACCTGTATGGTGCCCAGTGACATCCCATAGTACCCAGTGACACCCCCATGGTGCCCAGTGATACCCTCATGGTGCCCGGTGACACCCCATGATGCCTAGGACACCTCATGGTGCTCAATGACACCTGCATGGTGCCCAGTGACAACCTCATGGTGCCCAGTGACACCCTCATGGTGCCCGGTGACACTCCATGGTGCCCAGTAATACCTGTATGGTGCCCAGTGACATCCCATAGTACCCAGTGACACCCCATGGTGCCCAGTGACACCTGTATGGTACCCAGGACACCCCCATGGCTTCCCCCAACTCATAAGAGATACCCACATGGCTCCCTGTGACATGCTGCCCCCATAGCCCCCATGATACCCAAGCCACGCACCTTGCTGAGGTGGAACTCCACCTTCCGGATGTGTCTCTCCACCAGGCGCACTTGCTGCTCCCGGAGTAAAAAAGCTGCTTTAGAAATGGCCATGCTCCCACCGCCAGGCTCCCACCACCTCACCCCT